GGAGTTGCTTTCCTGGCTCTGTCCTCGTGGCGTATGGGAGCGTAGCCCTGAGCCGAGACGTACAGTCCCGTTCCACAATGTCGGAGACAAAGCTCAGTCCCCGGCCTCTGGCTGGTGAGGACGAGCATCCTGCATATTCCTACATCTTCCCAGAGTCCTTCTGGGGCCGTTACTGGGGAGCTAAACCATGCAGTGCACAAACGTGTTTCATGTTTAAATAAAGATAATTGTCCTTTTGAAACTCTCACAGTTGAACTGATCAGATATTTCATATATATTAATCACAATAGTGAAACTGAAGTTAACGTCTGTCCTCGTCTTTCAGGTGGAGACCTTCTCTGGTGTCTACAAGAAGCTCACAGGCAAAGATGTCGTGTTTGAATTCCCTGAATTCCAGCTGTAAATGCAGATGACAAAATAAATTTGTTTACTGTCCATGTTTGTTGGGTGTGTCTCATCATTCTTAGTGGAGATGTTCTTTTTGAAGACCAGGGAATCGAACCATGTTGGTGCCTCGTGTTCATTTCCTACAGTTCAGACACGGCATGAATGAATGTCCCAACATTTCTTGTTGACCATTATTTGGTCATTTACAGTTTATGATAAACTTTTAGATGTGCAGGTAAAACTGAAAACTTTTAACACGTCTGTTCTGAGCTGGCTTCAAGAAAACCTCCACAATCATCAAATGTAAATTAATAAAAGTTAATTTTGGATATTTTTAAAACCGACGAGTCTAGAGTTAAACTTAATCCATGAACTTTAAACTGGAGCTAGAGACGAAGCAGAAATATCCCTGATACAGACGCTGCCATCTTGTGCTGGTGACATCATTCAGAGTCTGCAGTGAAGAAGTGGGGTCACAGTACTGGGGTCCCGCCCAAACATGCTCTCATCTGTCAATCAGCCTGTTTTTATATCAATTAACTAATCACACTGAACTGATGAGAAACATGAACGAACATCGCTCCTCAACGTTTCTTTTCTCAGGAGGAACTTCAGTGATTTCAGTCTTTATTTGACCACAAACTCAAATCACACGATCAGACTCCAGATCAACGTCCTTGTTTCACATCATGATGCTTCTGCTCTCGTCTCATTCTGAATCTGAGACTTCATTTCTTCAAACTAATGTCAGGATCTTCTTACAACTCTGTGTAGTACTGACATTCTCCACTAGATAGAGCAGTGGCACTGTGTAAAGTGCTTAAACAAAGTTCACATGAAAGTTGTGACTTCACTGTTTCTACAATTTATTAAATGTGTATGAAAATGTCAGAATGGATTATTTAGGTTTATTATGAAGTCTGTGTCTTCATCAGAACATGAGGTTTGTTCATTTGTTCTGAATTAAACTTAGATATGAAGAAAAACTTATTATAAAGTTTTAGCAGACACTAAAACCAGATCAGAATAATTCAAATGAACCCTAATTATTAATTAAGAGGGAAATAAATGTTTATGCCCCAAATGCCACAAATTTTATCAAAGCTTTGAATTAAAAAAACATTTTAATGTGCACAACAGTTAAATAAGACATGTTCTTATTTATTAACAGAGGGAATGTGTGTTTATTTAAAAATGATTTTGTAACTTTTATGTTAATTATTGGAATCTATTAGAATTTGAGTTCCGTGTTTGTTTGTTTGTTCCAGTTCTCCAGAGTTGAACAGCAGAAGATTTAAAAACAAACTGAACTTTATTTTGATAGCTTGACAGAGTTGTTGTACTGCAGATCACTGTAACATTTCAGAATAAAAGAGTTGAACACAATGACTCATACAAAAAGGAAAATAGATTCGAATGTTCGTGAACAATTAACAAGATTGATTTTCACCTGAAAGTGACACAATGTAACTTTAACTCAACAGCAGCCACTGTGGCCATAAGTGGTACTTCCAGGTCGTTGGCACACAGCACCGCATTTACCACGATCCCTTCAACTTTTTATTTGTAAGATGAAAATCTGAATTTTCTCCATTTTGACCAAAATATTTTTTTCAGAAACCAAACATCGAAATTCAACTGTTATGAAATGTGTTTTTCCAGATTTGATATCCAGAAGGAGAAGACACCAGGTTGTGATATCAACACTCTGATCATCGAGCTTCATGGCACCTGAATAATGTTTTGTTGGTGCAAAGACACGAACCAGAAACATTTTTAACAAAGTAAAAGATCTGAGGAAACATCTCAGATTTAAAACATCAGGGGATCCATGACTCCTCCCTGAGGAACTCCGTCACAGGAGTTCTTCAAAGATTCTTCAGGAACAACTCATGTTTTTTCTGTAAAAGCTAAAATACTAAATATCTGTTCGTTTGACCTGAAATTCTACGCAGCTTCCCCTTGACCAGAATCAACGTATACACGGACGATAACTTATTCTATTCGTCTTTGCTGTGACCAGTGAAATACTGAGATTTGACTCCTTTTGATGACAGTTTATGAAACATGCGGACATTTTTAATCTACGTATTGTTACAGGGAGACAGTTTTAATGGAAAATAACTGGATGACCTATTTTTCTTAAAATATATAACATGTCGTAAAAGCTTGAAAAAACTTTTGTTAATGCTTTTATTTCCTATGTTCGGTTTGAGTGTTAGTACATATTTTAAATAAGTGTATAGCTCTTTTACCCCATCATAAGTTGATATACTCTGAAGAGCACTTTTTTCATATATATATATAAAAAAATCAGATATGACTGAAGTTGGCAGAGATACAATAAAAACTAAAAGCTTATTTACAACAAATAAAAAGCTTATGAGAGAGAGAGAGAGGCACTAACGGCTCCTGAGATGAAAAGGAAAATGTGCTCGGGTGTTTAGATGCTTCATCATTTTTAAACTACAAATACTCTTGAACTTGAAGCAGAAGCATCTTGTTTGATGAGCTGGATTGTAAAGTGAATAAAAGACGTCGAGGTTTCAGCAGCTGAATTCACTGAAAGAGACGAATGGTCCAGTTTGTTAGAAACGAGCACAGACGGCAGCAGGTGATGAATTCAAACTCTCGTCTTTAAGGTTCAATTAGAATTCTAATAATGAAAGAATTATTGATTTAACCTTTGAAACAGAAGAAGCTCTGTGAGGCTGTTTCTAGACGAAGTGGCTCTGATGGGAATGTTTTCTTTGGTCACAATATTAGATGAAGGATGAAGGTGTCATGAGTTCTCCAGACATTTCAAGATGATGGAGGAGGAGGAGTCTGAATCTTCCTCTGGGGACCACGACTGTCTCCATCCAGCAGATCAACTTCAAATCTCTCAGTTTCTACTTTAAAGCATCAGATTGAAAATCTGTTTTTACTGTCGTCTGTCGCCGACGCGAGTGTTGTGTTGTGAGACGTCAACACAACACAGGTTTCCACGATTGTTTAGAGCCTTTAAAAGTAGAAAACCAAAGTAAACAGGTTCCATATTTTCTATTACTGATTATTTAAGTAGAACTGATAACCAGTGACCAGACTCTCCAGTACGACATGAAAAATCCTGACAACGACCTTTGACCAGAGTGACTTTGATGTTGCAGGTTTTTTCGTCTTTTCTTTTTTCGTTGATTTTCTTTTTCAAACTTCTTCCGTCATAAAATCTTTGATTCGTTCCACAAAGAGTTGACGGCCGCCGAAGGTCTTCAGCTGAGAGAAGTGACAGTGTAGACGAGCTAAAAGGTTTCTCCGGAGACACGAGCTCCTGCAGGAGGAGGAGAATTTGTCTGTGATAAGATTTTAATCCGGTTTCTCCTGCGTCAGGGGCTGAGCAGCCTGAGACGAGCCAGCCAGCCTCCGAGCAGCGACGTCGACTGCTTGGTCACAGCCTGAGGAGGAGACACGGCAGCGGGCGTGGAGGAGGAGGAGGACTTCTTGGATGCCGCCTCCTGGTAGGGGATGGTGGCGCTGTTGTGCAGGTTTGTGTTGATGAAGCACTGGCTGCCTCTGATGTGGTCGACGCCCCGGACAGACGGGTGTCCCCGGTACGGCAGCGGGAAACACGGCTCCTCCTCCGTGATGGTGCTGATCCCCTCGTTACTCAGATATCTGTGGAGGATGTCCTGACCTGTTGGAGACGAGAACAACGAGGTCACTGTGGTTTCAGCATCAGAGGATCGACTGGGTTCATTATTCTGTGATTCACTTTTAAATCCTTCAAATCCCAAAGTGTGTAAAACACACGTGTTCAGTTAATGTTGCACTTGACTCTGATCTCGACTCACTCAGGCTCTGATACTTTACGCAGGTTTGTTTTGAACTTATTTATATTCATGTGTTCGAGCTCAGTACATCTCAAACTGTGAAGAGTTAATATGTTAAAGTTCAACTTCCAGTTTGCTTTGGATCGTCGACCATCGGAGAAGTTTTAATCAAGTATTGATTCAGCGTCGATATAAAACCCAGAGAAACTCGACCCGGTCAGTTTGACAGATGTGAAACATGTTTCTGCTGCTTCATAAACACTGAGTCAGATTAGTTCTATTGTTAGAGTCAGTTCAGGCGTCAGTGGAAAAACCGTCCAGCTCTTAATGCGTCTTTATTTAACTGTTCTGACTCCAAAACCCATTAACAGCCTGTTATCTCACACACACACACACACACACACACACACACACACACACACACACACACACGTTCCTCAAGGTGAAGCAGTCAGAACCAGACTAAATCAGCTCTGTCGATGCAGCAGCAGTTTCTCAGGGTTAATAATCCACCAGGTAAAAATTCAAAGCACGCAGCTCGCCCTGCCGCCGTTGATTCTCGCCTCTGGACGAGGCAGACCGGCGGCCGTCGCTGATAACGGTCAGATTAAAGGCGCTGCGTCTGGTCGGGACAGGTGGGTGGGGCTTACCCTTCCTTCCCTGAGCTCCAGGTCTGTAGGACACGCCCGAGAACGCCTCCGCCGGCATGGAGACGGGTCGAGGTTTACCTGCCGAGACAAAACAAAACCTGAGACAGACACTAACGACACGTGTCCTCGCTGAGAGTGCTGTCAATCTGTCAATCAAACAAAGTGGAATCGTTCCTTTCAAGGTGTTTTCAGACACGAACTCCTGGAAACTGTATCTGGACTTTTCTGGAGTTTGTGTTTGTCGGGTGAAGAAGCAGCAGGAGATCGTCCGAGTCCGACTCGTTCACAACAACCTCAACTTTCTGGACATTTTCCTCTTGTTTCACTCACTCCAATATTTTACCAGCGTCCCCTCCAGGTCTGAAAACGAACTTCAGGCTTGTTGAGGGTTTAAAGTTGGGGTGTCCCTGTGTGTGTGTGTGTGTGTGTGTGTGTGTGTGTGTGTGTGT